AGTTTGATACCCTCTCAGGTACTGAATTTTTGGTACGGAGAAAAGAGGAGTGGGGATAGTGGGCCAGAGCCAGAATATAAACATTAGAATTCTCCAAGCCATTTGCAGTCTATTTGGTAAATTCAGACTTAATCTGGTCACACTGCCTGTTTGAATGGCAGTTTTCCCCACTTTCAAAATGAAATGGTTGATAAAGAGTTCCAAGAACACCAAATCCAACGGCAACAATATCACCCTCAAGCTGTATGATTAGGTTTAGAAAAAAAAAAAGATTTTGCATCACAAATGGGAAGACCAAGACTGCTCCCTTCCTGAGCTTGCTGGTCACAGTGCTTCATGACTATCAGAGCCCTCACTAGGGCTGCTGGTGATGTTCCTGGCTCTGCTCTAAGACATGTCAGACCCGGGTGCACGGTCAGGTAGGACTGAAATTGCTGGCTGAGTTGCACCATGCACAGAAAGACCAAAAATGAGTTGCACCATGCACATTTCACATGAGAAGGACTTAGAAATGTTGACTTCAGAATGACTCTAAATATAATTTCAGCTAGTCACAACAGTCATTGCACCGAACATGTGTATATTCTTGAAACACTTTTGCCACAGACATTATATAACTGCATGTGTCATGATTCTGACCTATCAGCTATGTGCAATGGAAAGAACCTCCCTGTAACCTGTTCTCATTGGTTTTCCAATGAGGGTGGGGATGGAGGTCTCAAGGGACATGCTTCCTTGGCACCCTGGGTTGTGTGCTCCATGAAGGGGGACAAGGCTGGAGTAGGGCCAGTGTAGGCTTCTCTAAAGCATGAGATCCAGGCCAGGGGCCTCTCTTGCCTAGGATTAAGGCAAACACTGCTACCATCCACATCTTAATTCTACAACCTTTAAATAAATAGGTATAATACTCTGTATGGGTACATGTGTATACAAGATACTATATTGAACAGCAAGCACCCAATACCCCATAAAGACACCTGAATGTCATGTTGGAGGCAGCCTGGCAAAGTTAGGCATCCAAAGGACATTTAACTCTTTGATTAGTCCTCAATTTATCAGATGAGAACAAGATAAGTCATTCGGCCCAATGTTACATACCACCTACAGCTACAACTACGGTCCAGGCTACTGTCCCAAATTAATTTCTACCAAAGGCCAACATATGAAGTATATTCTACTTATGAAACTTGTGTTTCTTAACAATAAAATTGTTTTCACTAGAAAAATAAAATAATAAAGATCAGAATATAAAGGATTATACCTTAAGATGCCTGGAAAGCTTACCTGTCCCGAACAACTAATTTCTCAATTAATCCAAAAGATGCCTTGTCTTGAATACTGGCATACAGCATACTGGCTCAGAAATTAAGGAGCAGTAGTAGTTCAGGATCTATCAGGTGATCATGAACTTAAAATGAAAAGAAATACTGCTAACTGCTCCCTCAAAGTTCTATATGTAAGAACATTTTGAAGTTTTCAGAAAGAAGCTAAAATACAAGCTTTTGTAATTGTTCAAACAGAAATATCATTTATCATGTAAATACATATATATTAACATAGATAGCAAAAGTTGTCTAGTAACTCACTCATTTTTTCATTTAGAGGATGTTAATTATTTTAGAAGAATACGACTCCTCTTCTAAAACTTGCTTTAATCCCAAAACATAAGGGGCTAAAGAAAGTCTTCAAATAAGTAGAATTATAATAATGCTACATTCCTCTATCTCTACAGCTTTTTGTTCAGGACAGGAAGTTCAATTCATACACGCAATGTGTTCATGAGGCAGTAGAAAGGATCATGATAAAAACAATATACAAACTGTGAACTTGCATTTGTGTCAACTTTTCACTCCTAACTTGAGATTGAGCTACAGCATGTATTAATAGCTTTCATGATTTTGAACACAGATATGTGCTGCCAATAAATCAATCAGAACTAATGTGCAAAATGGACTCAGCCATTTTAAGGTATATGGAGTAAGTCCTTCAGCTTAGTATTACCAGCTAGCTATGAGGAATATTGACACACATCAAAAGAGACCATTAAATGTATAACATAACTCCTTCCCTATTCTTGTTATGACTCAACTGCTTATATCTGCAAGTCAGCATTTGTCAATTGATTCACTGAAAAATATTTCCTGAATGCCTATCAAAATATACAAGGCACTGTGTGTTAGGGCTCAATAAGATGAGCATCTGCCTTTGAGGAACTTATAGCCTGATAAATAAAATTCCCAAATAACTAAAAATAAGACAGAAAACAGTACTATGGGCTGGGCGCGGTGGCTTATGCCCGTAATCCCAGCACTTTGGGAGGCCGAGGTGGACGGATCACTTGAAGTCAGGAGTTCGAAACCAGCCTGGTCAACATGGCAAAACCATGTCTTTACTAAAAATACAAAAATTAGCCTGGGGTGGCCTGTAATCCCAGCTACTTGGGAGGCTGAGACACGAGAATCACTTGAACCCGGCGGGCAGAGGTTGCAGTGAGCCGAGATAGGGCTACTGCACTTCAGCCTTGGCAACAGAGTGAAACTCTGTCTCAAAAACAAAAACAAACAAACTATATATATATATAACTCTGGAAACACTGAGAGAGGAAAGAGAAATTAATTTCTGAAAGGGATACTAGAAAAGGTACCCCTGGAGTCAGGCTTTGAAAGATAAGTAAAATACTAGCATTTCTCATAGTTTTAAGATGTCAGTTTCGAATCAGTTAACTTGTAATTCCTTTAACATTCCACAAATCAAGTTGATTCTCAGTTCCTGTATGACATAACCCCCTAAAAAATGTGTATTTCCAGGAAGGGGAGTGTAGTCTTTTTCTCTTCAAGAGACACTAAAAATATATACCACTTCAGTCTAAAAAACTATGATTCCAGGTTTTTATATGTCACCAAGTGTATATAAATCGACGCATTACTATATTAAATGGATAGTTCCTTTAAGTAGAAAAATACAAAAGAGTGGGGAAATTTTAAAATGTAGTACCCCGTAGGAACACACCCTTTATTACTGCCATTAAATTCCAACTGTCACTCTTTCAAATAAAGTCTGAATTTGTTTTAGTGTCCTTCTCAGCTGCTAATATATTTCACTTATGTCACTATAGGAAATATAAAGCATGCAGCATAAGCTAGATACTGAAAAATTGTGTATTTATGACTGCCTTACTCCTTTTACTCTATGAAATAATTTGTCTACATTTTCCTGTTTGAACATATCAACTTTCAGCAAGAATGGAATGTAAATTGATGTTACGCACAAGCTGGGCTATTATTCCTCAAATTTAATAAGAAAAAAAAAGAAATCAAACACAAACCAACTGGATTTCCTGTTTTTATTTATGGTTATTAGTGCCCATTTAGGGGGATTAAAATAAAAGTGTCCATCTCAGTTACAGCTCATCCTTCCTTCAATTAATGTACCCAAGGAGACAAGTTCCTTCCATTTACTTCCCTGATGACTTCTGGATCACAAAGCCTATTCAAGCTTCTCCCCAGGGCCCCAAAACAACATGCGCAACAACTTCCTAGGGAAACTCGAAGCCTACCTCACCCTTCCCACTGGGGAAATACACAGACTCAGCCCTTTCTGGTGTGATTACGTAAGAATACAAGGGCTTGCTTGACCCTGCTCAAAGCTGAGACCTATCTTTGAAACGTCAACTCGTGCCATTTCTCCTCTAAAGCAATAGTATATGCTGGGAAAAGAGGAAACAAGTAGGATTTATCTTATAACAATGGCAACATTTTTCAAGGAATTCTCTGCACCAAAAGTTCGGATGCCCTAGGAAAAGTCTATAATGTTTGGAAAGTAACTAGTCTTACGTGTCTAGGTGGTAGCACCCCCTATTTTGATTGGGGGCAGGGGGTGGGGAACACTTTAATAAATTGGATTTTTTCCTAAGGCAAGTTATCTGGCTCAGAGAATTTCCAACTTCTCTCTTGAATTTCTACTTATCAGCCATAGTATTACTGAAATTTAGGGAACAATTTTTTGCTGTGCAGAATGACCAAAGATGCTGCCAATCATTCCTTAACAACAGGGCCACGGTGTCCCTGATGTGCGAACCACTTTAAGGCTAAAGATGGACAGTATGGATTCTTTTTCTTTTTTCTTTGAATATACAAAGGTATTTTTTAAAATTCTTTTTCTTAAGACTTAATTTGCTATATATCATTTATTTAATTTACTGTATGTAAGGCATGAATTTACTGTATGCAAAATAGGTCTTTCAAAGAGAAGGATATTAATACCTATTTCCAGGCTGCTCTTTTTGTATTTGGGGTGCAGAATTTCACAAAAATCCATCTGAGAAATAACGAACTATAAGGAGAAATAGAAGCTAACCAATGTCAATAGCTCTTATGGTTTTGCATCTGAATGGCAAAAAGAAACAGGATATCATAACTGTTATTTTTTGCCAAAATAGGGCCGTTGGGTTCGCTCTTTCTATTTAGGGTTATATGAACCTTTACCTGGAATGACCATGCTATACATTCATATATTATCCAAATTCACTGTGAATTTGATTTCTTCTTTACAACTGGCACCACAGCTTCAGAGGAGTGCTTTAACACACTTGTGTAGGCACTCTGTTTCTCAAACCAGGATGCCGCAGACAGGTCAATGTTGCTCGCGCTCTTTCTTCCCTGACCTTGAGCCATGTGTTCCCTAGGCATTGTGCATATAGCTCTGCAAACAGTGGTTATGGCAGAAAGCATTTGGAAACTTGTAACCGATTCCTGTCCAGTGGCTAAGATGCAACAGGCTATTTCTGCAATGGATCCTGTCCACAACTAGCCCAGGCTGGATGTGACTGTAGCTGTAAACAGAATGCCTTCTGCCTACCCACTGCCATATGAAAAAGGGCAAAGACATTCTATCCACCAACTACATGGGCAGTAGTAACATTAGGGACATGGAAGGGGGACAGACTGTCATTCAAAAGAGGAAAAATAAGTTTAATAAAAGGACAGCACTCTCTCACTCACCACTGAGGTTAGAGCCATCTGGAAACTATAGATGCGGGCAAGGCCGAAGTCAGCGAGTTTTATTTGTCCACTGCTGGTCACCAGAATGTTCTGTGGTTTTAGATCGCGATGCACTACTCGGTGTGAATGAAGAAAGTCCAGACCTCGGAGAAGCTGAAACATCATATCCTATTAAAATTAAAAAAAGAAAATCAATAAACACTCAAAAAGGAAGCTGAGCATTTGCTATGCTGGCCACCAAATCCTTAGCATTTTGTGGTTGCTTGGCATACAGCACGCATTTGATAGGTATTGGCTGAATGAGTGAATCTGTCTCCCTTCCTGCCTTTCCACTCCCACACTTTCAAGAACACTGCAAAAAATTTCACTCTCAACCTGTATTTTACTAATGAAAATACAATTTTAAAATAGTTTTTGATGGAATGGGAAATGTTCTGGAAGGATATCTGCCAAACTGGTTTCAGTGGCTCTTGCTGGGGAGTGGGAGGAGGAGGTTGTGAAGGGACACTTTTTGCTTCTCTATTGTTTAATGTGTCATTTCAACAATTAAAATCCAGTGAATGTTATTAATGGTGATTATTATTTTATAGCACTTAGTACTAAACACTCACTACGTATCAAGCACTATTCTAAGCTTTGTCCTCTTAGTAAATAATTTAATTCACACCACAACATTTAGGTAAATAATATCATTACACCATTTTACAGGTCAAGAAACTGATACACAGATGTAGGCTACTAATTAGCCCAAAGTCATACTAGCAAGAGAGTGCTGATTAACTGTTTTTTTTGTTTTGTTTTGTTTTGTTTTAGACAAGATCTTGCTCTGTTGCCCAGGCTGGAGTGTAGTTGCAGCCTTGACTTCCTGGGATCAAGATATCCTCCTGCCTCAGCCTCCCAAATAGCTGGGACCACAGGTGCGCACCACCATGCTAGGCTAATTTTTTTAGTTTTTGTAGAGATAGGGTCTCACTATGTTGCCCAGGCTGGTCTCAAACTCCTGGGCTCAAGCTATTCTCTTGCCTCAGCCTCCCAAAGTGCTGGGATTACAGGCGTGAGCCACCAGGCCCAGTCTTTATCAACTCTTTTAGAGTATTAACAGAGTCTTGATTTCAACTAGGGTCTGGAAAATCTCGATTCAAAGCTTCAGTGTATTCCTTTATCAAATCAATGAACAAATGAACATGTAAAATAAGGCAAGCCATTTAACCTCCTAAGTCTTAGTTTCCCTGTCTGTAAATGGGAAAGTAACGAAACCCACTTTATCACAGGATCATTGTAAAGCACTTAGCACCATAGTTAATATTCAGTAAATGGCAGCTCTTATTACTGTTATTATTAACCAGTATGGAGGGGGGATCATTCAGGATATAAACCAATATCAGATCTTTTTCTAATTTTAGTACTAATACAAACGTATACAAGATTTAATACTCAGGAAGTAAGACATTGGCCATGATGTCATAATCCTCTGAAATTTGTGGTAATTAAGAGTGACCTACTCCCCGGATCCAAATATTATGAGAATGGTGTATACCAGGGAGGATGGAGCTGTTCTGTTAATACAAGGGTTTGAAAATGACTGGGCACCATCATGGATTTCAGAGCTGCAAGCAGCTGAGGATACACTTATCATTGGCCGGACCACTGAATCCTCTCATGGAGAACGGTATATTTGGTTACTGGTTTATGGTTTTGGTTCTTCCTTTAGAGTTGGGAGTTCTGTCTTTATATTGTAGCTTATTCAAAACCAAAGCCTTAGTTTTTCCTTTTATAAAGTGGAGAAAGTAGCGATTACTTTTCCTACTATGAGGGGGGCTAAATGAAGTAATGTATGCCAAGTGCTTGCGCAGTTTCTGGCATATGGTAAGCATTTGACAAACAGTAATTATTAGGATGATTATTGCCAAGATAAGTGTCCTGATTTCTGGGAGAGACAGATTCTCAAACAACTAAAAGAAAACATGACCACTGCTACAAGGTCAGTGTGAACAAAACACTTAGAGGAGGTATGCAGTGACCTAGAATCATTTTTGAGATCCCCCTGAGTGAATATTCTGAACTGGCAGGGGTTACCTTCTAAGCTTTCCAAAACCCTGGAGAAGACTGCACTGGGGAGGGAAAACCCTTCAAGACTTAAGAAACACTGCAGGTCCAATAAGTTGCAATGAATAAACGGGAGTGTGAAAATGTAGCACAAAATGTTCAAGGAACATTTTGGCAAATAAGTCTTTATTGGAAACACATGCACACAACTTGTAAGCACTGAATTTTAAAAAGCATGACTAACCTAAAGTAATGTCATGTTGGCTCATCATCTTTAGCCTCTATATAGTTAAGTGTCACTCATTTAAAACAGTATAAAGAATAAATCTGTTTGGTTCATGCTGCAGTGTTCAAACAACTTTAGCAGCCAATTAGCAGTACACAAATTTAAAAACATGTACATTGCTTTTATTTGTGTTACAGCACATACTATATTTTTCTTAATTATAAAATTGCTAAGATGTATAGATGCATGCTTAATGCAGAAACTAACAAAATGTTTTGAAAATCCAGAGAACAAGAAAAATCACTAAAAATTTCCACTACTTGGAGAACAGACAACACTTCACTGTTAGTATCACTTTTTTTGTGTCTTTTTAGTCTGTCTTTTAAAAATTACGTATTTTATTATATTTGGATGTATAAGTATATTTAAGTAAAAATGGTTATTATTGTGTACACATTATTTTGTGGCTCTTTTAAAAACATGTAACAATTCATTATCAATATTATGCCACTTTAATAAAATTGTGCAATATGACTTTTTTTTTTTTTTTGAGACAGAGTCTTGCCCTGTTGCCCAGGCTGGAGTGTAGTGGCCGGATCTCAGCTCGCTGCAAGCTCTGCCTCCTGGGTTTACGCCATTCTCCTGCCTCAGCCTCCTGAGTAGCTGGGACTACAGGCGCCCGCCACCTCACCCGGCTAGTTTTTTTTGTATTTTTTAGTAGAGACGGGGTTTCACCATGTTAGCCAGGATGGTCTCGATCCCCTGACCTCGTGATCTGCCTGTCTCGGCCTCCCAAAGTGCTGGGATTACAGGCTTGAGCCATTGCACCCGGCCATGACTTTTTTTTATACAATGAGATTTTTAATAGCCGCATTGTTTTTCTCCCTGGGATATGCCATAATAATTATTATTCAGTTTTAGTTGTGTTACTTTGGCACTTGTACTATAGGTCTAGTTCTCCTTTCTTTAAAGGTAGAGTAGATTAAAAGGGCTTGCTAATGTCATACCAAAGCATGGGTTAGGCAGTATGAATCCACGTGACTGTGCTAACATTGATTCCATGTGCATGATGCCTATAGATGTAAGTTGGTTCTGCAAAAGAATGACCATTCTTTAGATTTTATTAGGCTACTTAAATTTTTTTTTTTGTTTGTTTAGCAAATGGTTTTTCTTTTAAATCTCCAATATCAAGATAGAACTGAAATTCTGAACCAATGAACACTGAATTAATGACTTAAAAAACAAAATCTGCCAAACATCTCATGACCTTCAGTAATTCAGTCACGAGTTAGGTTGTTGGGCATTATGAACCTGTAATAAGCGTGACTGGGGAACCCCTCTCAGTCTTTAGCCATCCTTTATTGCAATACCTAATTTCAAAGGCGAAATACATTCAGCTACGTCAGGAACTCTGGTCCCAGATAATCATAAGATATAGTACCAATTCCAGAGGACGATATAAATAAACAAATTACAACATTAAATGAATTAAATGAGGTAAGGAAAAACACCTTTCCTACAGAATCACAAGAAGTGTTTTGATCCAAGACATTTCAAAGGATTCTCTACTTAAGCTTATTATCTGTTTTATCTCAATTTATAGTATCGTGAGACATACTCTTAAATGAGCTCCTCAAGATTTTAATCTAAATTACTCTGTCCCATATATGACTCAAATATTTCACAGTAACCCTAGTGATGCAATGCAATGAAACTACAGATACCACCAATTAAGGCTCTTTCAGTTAAACGCAGGTTTAAAAGTTTCCCTTTTTATGTTATACGTCACAGTCTGGTATAAAAGGTTTGAACATTTAGTCATACCTATGATAAACAGTCACTTGGGACCCTCACTCTATCTTTCGAAAACATGGGACTTGCAAGCATGTTTCAACAGGACACCATTGTGGAATGAAGTCTGGCTCTGAGAGATCTTAGGTGGGGCTTTATCTTGGCAATGCCCCTAAAAAGACTCTGGACCTTTCTGAATACAAGAAATCCTTGAAGTCTTGTAATTGTTTCTCTCAGGTGTTCTAGAGCTCTAATCCTCTTATTTAAAATCAAGACAAACAAGCAAACTAAAAAACTACTTCAGGCTTTTCTAATGGGAAAGGTTGATCATGGGGCCTTCTTTTCTTTTTCTTTTCTTTTTAGAGATGGGGTCTCTCTCTGCCACCCAGGCTGGAGTGCAGTGGTGCCATCACAGCTCACTGAAACCTCGAATTCCTACGTTCAAACAATACTCCCGAGTAGCTGGGACTACAGGTGTGTGTTACCATGCCTGGTCACTTTTTAAACTTTTGTAGAGACAGGGTCTTGCTATGTTGCCCAGCCTGGTCTTGAATTCCTGGCCTTGAGCCATCAATCCTTCCGCCTTGGCCTCCCAAAGTGCTGCAAATACAGGTGTGAGCCACTGCACCTGGCCTGGGCCTTATTTTCTCATCACAAAAAAGCATGGTTAGTTCTAAAACACACTAAAAACACCCAAATCATATCATAAAATAAGTCACAGAATGACAACTTTAAATAGACAATTCTGGATATAGGGATATATCTAGTGATATATTCACATCCTCAAAGTTTTAGCACCAAAAATGTACATCAATAGTTTATTTATTTAAAAATTAAAAACAGGACATATCCAATTTGGTAGGCAAAGGTAATCTATTTTTCTCCTTATACTCTGTAAACCTCAGTCTTTTCAAATTTGTTATTCAAGTTTTCACAGAAATCTCTCCATAGTGGTTTGTCTGTTTCCTATGAAGGGTGTTAGAGGAGGCTACAGCCTAAAATATATCACATATAACAAAGGTTTTTAAACACTAAACCAATAAGAACATGTTGAATTAAGGTGAGCGTTACAACAGAGGGAAAGGTCACCTGAGCCTGCATATAA